GAAAAATATAATAAAAGTAATAAAACACTTCAAGTTCCAGTGACTGGAAGTGTTTCTATCATTTTTCACTGTAAACTGATGGGTAGACATTTTTTAAATACACTAATTGCTATGTTCAAGTTGATAATTTTTATGTTAGGCCAAAAAAATATATATACTTGTTTAGCGTCACCGCCCGACCCTGATATGGGCAAGTTAATTTCAAAAAAATATTTTTATGATTTTTTTGGTATTTAGCATGGGAAAATACATCTTTAAGGTGCATTATACAGTATTTACAATTAATTTTTATTCTACTGCATAATCATTTGCAAACAGTATAATGGAGTTTAAATGTAGTTATAAACATATTTAATATTTTAAATAATTCTTCAAATATTTCCGAGTGTCACTGCAGTGAGATATAGTTGAATTCAGTAGCAACATACAGTACATGTTGTCTCGACAGCGGGTTCATTCAGCTCTGTTAGGATTTGTAATGAAAGCGAGCATAAATGCTATGTCGATAGCAGACATGTTGTGCAGCTCATCACGCATTATACAATTAGTACATTGATTAATTGATTTACATTTAATTAACATGTCATACTGTAGGTTTAAATCCTAGCTGGTGTTGAATTTGTAATTCAGAGAATTCACAAGGCATTTCATGCATTTTGCTGCCAAGATGTTTGTTTTAATACGTTATAATGATTTTTTTCTTTTTGATTACAAATTGTTAGTTATTTTTAGTTACGATTTTAAGCAATGTATCTTAAGGTTTGTAGTTTGTATTCTGTATGTTGTTATTGTCATAAATTCCAGCCCATACTTTAGTCATTGGTATGAGCCTTTTCCAACTGTAGTTCAATTTCACACATGCTGTAAGTTTTTCTCTTTACAAAATCCTAGAGTAGGCCTGCAGTATAATAATTTAAATGAATAATAACATTTTAAAAAATATGTTTATGAAAAGAAAGTCCAGCTTAGATGTGGTCGTCTGTTGATATGTTTCTGATGTTAAAATTTCTCAACTCAAATAAGTGAGAAATATACATGGCGCAAGCAACCATTCAGGGACCACACGATGAAGACAGAAATGATTGAGGGCATACATCAAGTAACCGCCCTCGAACATGTCCTTGACGCCTATCGTTGTAACTCAAGTACGATAGTCTTTTAATCGGCCTGTCGGGTGCCGTTAAACTGTATCAGCTGTTTACATGTTAGTTTTGTTCAACAAGATGGGTTTTTATGTGAATATAAAATATACTTTAAATACTTATTTGTAGTCATAATTATGTAGTGTAGTGTTCATTAAAATTCACATAGAAAACCTACGCACATGCTGTGTGTGTTTGTTAATTGGTGAGAAAATATCTTCTTGTTTTAATTTTCAATTGGAAGTCATTAAACCTAGATAATTCAAATAATGAATTTTGTTAATTAGGTCAATACAGACGCTTCATCTTCAACTTAACCGAGAAAACAAATCTGCTCTGTATTATTACCAAGGTGAATAAATGAATCTTAAACTCAAGAAGAGAAAATTAATTTTCATAGCACAATAATCAGGTGTTTTCAAAACCAATGATTTCAAAGGATACAATATCTCAGTGAGTATGTATTAAGGGCTCGACCAAGTCATCGAGACCCACCCGATAATTGGACATTGATTTTACCGGACGATGACCTTGTATTTGGTAGGTTATTTTTAACGTAGGTTTCCATATGGAAACAAGTGAAGGATCTAATGATTCATCGAGTGTAAAGATTACGGCTGTGTGCTTCTACTTAACTTGCCAGTTGATACTGCTAAACTAAGCTGTCAGAGAAAGTACTCAATTTCCCAGTCGGCTTAAAACTTGCTACGCAGCCACCATGCTAAGTTAGTGTTTCGCTGCCTATGTGAACATGGAGGTAATTTATCTATTATAAGATTAATTGTCATTTATCTGATATTAATTTTTTTTTATATCTTTGTCACTTGGTTTGTTACATGTGTAAGATCATTTATTAATATTTTGAGAGGCATCCAATATTTGCTATGATAAATTTTTGTGCGAAGGTAGTAAGATTTGGGGAAGCTTGGTAATTGGCAGTTCTGATTGGTTAATTGAGATTATAATTCATTTGCATGGCACCAGCTACTACTATCAGTATTATCTTTAAACGTCAATGATGTGTAGGAGTATATGTGTCTCTGTGTGTTGGTAGGAATCCTAGGATAGTTGTAAATTAGATTTTAATTAAGTATTTAATTTATTGAGAAATATTATTATTAGTGCTTACAAAAAAGCCAGTGATTTTGTATGGAATGACTTAATTGATGTAACAGATGTAATACTATAGTTAATTGTAGCTTACTTATTGCTAGGTTATATAGTAGGCCTACTTTATTTTTATTTGTATGCATTTTAATCGGAGAAGAAATCCTTTATGACTAACAATTAATAAATTAAATTTCCTCTGTATGTGTGATTTTGGAACGTTTTTTTTGACAAAGCCACTATTGCAAAAACAGTTATAAAATTATTCTGAGTTTAAATAGAATTCTGTTTCCAGAACTAATTACGACCTGTTTTACAACAACAATTCCAACTGTCGGTGATAATTATTTAATTGTGAGCCCAACAAAAAAATGACAGCTACTATAACAACACTGCTATATTGCTGTCCATATTAATTTTTCTCAAAATGGATTGATCTGCATTCAATCATGGATGTTAATTCTCTGATTATTACCAGTGACTACTTGAAACTGAAAACACTTGCAATGAAAGTATACATGAAAAACACTAAAAAAAGTGTACATTGAAATTGAAACACTGCCAAACATAAACAGGATCAGACCTAATCATAAACACGTCATTGGAATTACTGTATGGTCTATATAATATTACTATAATGATAAACATAGTTTTTTTTTAATCATTCAAAATAGCAGGTTCTGTATTTTTTTAACACATACATTGGTTTTTGTTTTTGTAATGTTTTGTTTTTATTAGAATTAGAATTTTGTTATCAGAATTAGAAAGACTGATTCTTTTATAAATAACATTTGTTTATTCACTAGCCTAGAGTTTATAACTAGCATACTGTATAGGATAGAAAATAGTAAATATCCTCATCAAAAGTAATTGCAAATTCTGGATATGAAACTAATAATTATATTTAGCCTATACAAATTCTTTCTCCTGTATTCCAGTTGAAGTCTGCCATTTTTCAGTGACTTCACTGCCTATTTCCTCAGATTGCAATAGCATCACTATTGCCTACATCAAAGAGATGTTAGTTGGCATTAATTTATTTTTTTTAAAATCTACATTTCTTTGTTAGAAAAGTATGATGATATGATGAAAAACTCATGGTAAAAGTACCAATGCAGTATCATCTACAGTGATTAGTTTTTGCTCATGTTTCATAAGTATATCTTATAATAAATCCTGTTTCTCTTTGCAATTGAAATAGGATATAATTGTTCAATAAAATATTAAAACCTTCCTGAACTTGTAAAGGACAAATAAACTATAAACAGACAGTGAGGCTGCAGTCATTTACATTGGGGAAAATATTCAGAATACTCTGGCAACTACAGTAAACAATGAACTTTAGGCGTTTGTTTATGCAGTGAAAAATAATGTTTATAAACATTGATGAATATTTTATGTTTCAGGATAATTAAGTGTAATTACAGTGATAAATATTTGCTCTAATAGGTATCTGCAAACTATTATGTATGAGTTACAGTGTGGTGTTCGTTTACAAAACATGAATATGCAAATAAACAATATGCTTATGCATAGATACATAGATTCTTAAATAGATATACTTAATCCCTCTCCCGCTCCCCCCCCCCCCCCCCCCCACTTTTTCCATCCCGGGTATATAAATTTCCATGTTGAAGCCATGATCCATGAATTCTCATGGCAGATCCTTTGCTTCATATTTTAATTTTCTTTTTCTTCCTTCTTGTTGACACTGCAGTGGTATCACCCAGGAGTTCAAATGACTCTTCGCAATGTGTGGATATAAAAATAAGGGCTGATACACAGTAAACTATTAATGTCATTAATATTCTTTCTATAAATTTGCATATAAAATTTTTTATAAACATTTTTCTGAAGAATGAAGTGATAAGGTCTAAATATTGTCAAAAGTGCAGTGGTGTCCAATAGCCCATTAGGCATCTATGATGTATACTGGCTCATAAATATGCATTAATTTAAAATTGCATAATGCATGAGAATAATATTAGTTTCTTTCGAAGCATGAAATGAAAAGTTCTAAATATAGTGTCTGTAGACAACTGGTGCCTAACAACCCATTTGACAGTTATGAGCTGAAATGCCATAGATGGTATATTTGCCTGCGTGCGTCGTTATGATTACGGGCTGTACGTTCACTGTACACTTGAGCTTATGTTAATAATAGAAACACGAAACTCAACATTTTATTGGTCTTGCTAATGATGAAATAAACGTGGAATCTGTGTTGAAACGTACCTAATCATTATTATACCGAATCATACTGTACTGTGATTATACAGCGTCTGAATTTCCATTAAGCTTCTTTATTAATTAGCATTTATTAATTTTAGAGTTGGACTGTTTGTATTAACTACCGGCAGATATTGATGATCAAACTTATATGCTTGAAGCATACTATGTGCGACTTTCGTCTGATTTACCATTTTAATCTTCTATCATCAGCTTTTTTTATATAGAGAACCTGGGCTGATGACATTAATGAAACTAGATATTTTTTTGCTGAACAAAGTTGAATTTAGTTTTATACATAACTCATGCATGACTTACTCTTTCATTGCTGCAGCTAAATTTCAACCCCATTTCCTCTAGTAAATATACATGTATCAAAATTAATATTTATTCAAGTATACAATGATAAAAGAATTGTGCTAATATGCATTCATATGGAAAAGGTAGTTTCACAGTCATTTAATGATAGATTATCCTGTAAAATTAGCTTTCTCCAATTTTCCAATATTTTTTTTCTTTAAGGAGTTTGCAACGCTAACCAAAGAACTGAACCATGCAAGGGAGCAGATTCTTGATCGAGAGGAAGAGATTGCAGAGCTGAAGGCAGAACGCAACAATACAAGGGTAAGTACTCTGCTTCATGCCTTCATACCCATAATAGAGGAGAACCAATTATATAGTGACTGTCAGTTCCAGAGGTGGGAGGGAATAGTCATTAAAACAATTCTAAAGTGAGAAGGAAGTATAAGCTCTTGAGGTAGGAAGGTGAAATCTTGACAATTCTAGGGATGGGAGGAGAGGATTGCAGAGATGGAAAGAGGCCGTCAGAACAATTTTGGAAAAGGATTAGGAAATCTGGAGGGTTTTAGGAGTACGAAGGGAGGATCAGGACAGTGTAGACTGGAATAGATGTTTCAAACTGTTTTAGTGGTGAAAAAGGAAATGTTAGGAGTTTAAGGTCGGCGTTAGGAATATGAAGGGAGGATCGGTACTGTTTTAGGGATGGGAGACATGAATGCTGAGTTACAGTTCACCCATGAACCTGGTTCAAGTCATGAAAATATAGAACTCAAACGTATACAGTAATAATAGCATTCCACATTTTCATGACTTGTCACTGTGTTTATGAGTGCGCTGGAACACAGATTATTACTGTAGAATACATACAAATGTGAGATGACTACCATATCATAGTTCAGCACACTTTAAGTACAAGTAGACAAAACATAGTGAAAATTATAGATCAGAGCCAATGACTGAAACATGGAATGGATTACAAATCTTTTAAGACAACTTGATGAAAGCTAAGAGAAGGATTAAATATGGTGTGATGAGGATCTTGAATGTAATCTTGATTTTAATGCATCGCCCGTTGTTGCGTATCACTATACGGATAGATAGAAATATAATTGATTATTCTAAAATGTACTGTCATGTGGTATTACACAACGATCACTTTCTTTTCAATTCAAAGTATTGTGGGTCACCTTAGATATTATGTAAAGCCATGTAATATGTTTCCACTATAAGTAAGACTGATGGGTATATAATTGATTCTAGAATATATTGTGTGGTCACATATTGAATCCAACTATCTAAAGCTGCGTTCAGACACACAGCCATAACCTGGTATAGCTCAACATTACGAAGTGTTCATACATCAGCTTGACTAACTAATGTTAGTGTAAGTTACATCAGTACTCTTGTCAGTACATCTAGTAATTGTGAAATTACCAATGGAAACCAGCATGTTTTGATGGGGAATCCCCTATCGTATCATTGATCGATGTTTTACTCAAATCTCATTCATTCCACAAATTATCACATTTACAATATGTCATTTTACTTTACTTCACTCAATTCATGAATTGCCCAAAGTGCAATTTTTATAAGCGTACCCTAAAAAGATAATAGATCATGCAACACACTTGATTCAATACTGTAGGCTCCTATCAGGTGCATGATGTAGAGGTAAGGGGTCATATAGTAGCTGCTTGCACTTGACGGACATTGTGACTAACCTGCGGCCCCTATCTGTTAATTGAAAGTCATTACCTTACTGCTGTGTCACATGCCTCCAATATTTGCAGTGGTGGCTATATCATATTTTCTCAAGTATAAGCCCACTAATTTGAGCATATAACTGGTATGATTTTTAAGTGGGCTTTTTGTAACCGTAGACCAAAAAGTGCTTACAAGATTTACGCTGCAGGCCTAGTTAAGTGAGATAGGTCCAGCTTAATCTAGGCTTCACAAAGACCATAAGAAGATTTTCGTTTCAAACTTCTTAGAGGATAGGCATACAGTATAGTACTTGATTGGAGCATTTCTTAAAAAATGGTTAGTGGTGGGCTTACACTGTACCTGGGGGAACTATGTAATTTAATACCTTGCATTCATTTTTACAAACTAGGCAATATGCCAACAAAAAATAAATAGAAATGAATAAAATATCAGCATTATAATTTTTATTTTACTTATTGATAACATTTGAATTAATAAGAAATAGAAAATCCACACATTGACTTAGATGTACAGTATACTCTATTGAACTTCTGCCAACATGGCCTTGGACTTGGTTCGATTAAACTCATTAAGTTGTAATAAAATCCAATTTTGTGGAATAGACTAAGTGAATAACTAATGCTATCAATTGAAATGAACACCATTCACCAAGACATAAGTGAGCAGTCCATTTCCTATGTAGTACTCACACTAAAACCAATTGCACTTTTAGAGATATACAGTTATAAAACATTTAATGGTAAATGCTTTGGAGCATTGTACTTTCTCTGATGATATTAACACAAGAAGTAAATCTGTTTGTTTTTAGATTTACTAGCCTAAAAGCCTCTCTTGCAGAGATTTTATTTGAAATTGAACCAAAAATACAAATTAGATACCATGTTATCACATTAATACTAGGTTATCATTGTTGATCAACATTTATTTAGAAATATGATTACTCTATAATAATTATCAACTAAGTTAATAACATATTAATAGCCCTGATTAAATAAGAAATATAAGTTAATAATTAGAAACATAATACATTTGTTTTATTCTTTTTTTTTAAATTATTATTTTATTTCCATACCAACTAACAAAAGTAAAAACCTCCAATTAAAAGTTGATATCGGATAAATATACTCTAGTATATAGATATAAAACATGTAAAAAATATATAAAATTTAAATATAAAACAATAAATACATATAGAAACGTAAACCATCCCATTAGTTTTTGACTTAAAGTAGTTCAACTGTCAAAAATATGTCAATATCAGTGATAAAAAACTTATAGGTATCACACAAATGCAAAAATAGACCTCAATGCGTAACATTAACATGTCCAAAGTCTTTAATCAATATCATCTACTATTGTGAATGACAAAAGGAGTCCATTAAGATTAAAGAAATTCATAAAAGATAAGTTTCATTTGCATAAATGTACCTCCAACAGTGATGATTATATCAAACTGAAAAACAAAGTAATTTGCAGGCAGACGTTTTCATGAATATTTGTAGCATTTTCAGCCAATTTCCTTAAGTTATATCGACCAATAGGAAGAGTTCTAAATTCCCCACGTCCCAAATCGATTGTTAGAAAATGACCTATTGAGGAAACAGACGGATGTACTCACATGATACAGTTAAATTCATTGCTAAATGAACGCAATACCGTACATATATTTATTAGCTGGATAGCAACTGGCTAACCTGTTTATAGTATGAAACTTGAAATGCATTAAAAGCACACAATATCATATTAAAAGGAAAATATTTCAATAATAAATATTACAATAATAATAATAATCAAACAAGAAAATCATAATCAATATATAAAGTCATATAAAATATAAGTCCTAGTAACACCAAAGCACAAGTCGATAAGACTTCGTTGCTACAGTCTTTATGTTTTATCAGTCCTTGTATGTTTATCATCTTCGATGACTGACTCAGATCCTCTGGTGCCTAGCTCAACTTTAATGGTAATGGTAATGGCGATATATTGCAAAGTACATAATAACAAAATTGTCTGTATAATAGTAATAATAATGCACTCTATGCTCTCAAAAACCACAACCTATGTGCGCAAAAAAAGAAAACAAAACCAAATGAAAAGGAATCTAGTTCAGAATTAAAGGAAAGAGAAAAGATGGGATTTGAGCCGAGACTTGAAGATTAGTCAAAGATGAAGAGTCATGCACAGATTGAGATAGTTGTTTCCAAAGCTTTGGAGGAGTAACAGCTGTAGTACCAATTAAATTAATTTTTAATTAGAGGGTATTACATGGGTATCTTAGGTCATTACACTTCCTATTCAAGAAAACTATGTTTCGTAAAGGAAATTGAAAGCCTTGAAAAGAGATCGATAATTATCTCTTAACAGGTACAATACTATCATCAAAATTTACATAAAATGGTATTTTTAAAAAGCTATACAGTCAGTTGTATCACACTGGAACACTCCGACATTGTTGTGTTCTCATTCTTTTAAAGCTAGTTTAATCATAATAATACACTTCTTTCGAGAAAAATATGTTTGCTTTAAAAAAGAAAAATACAATCTCTATATTGTTTTACCTTAAGGATCAGCTTCGTCAGAAAAACTATGTGGGATTAACATTCTTAAAGTATAGAATGCATTAAATAGTTTGTGCATATTTTGTGAACAGTTGTATATTATAATAATATTTTACAGATCATTTATGAAATTTACTTGGTCTACAGTACCTCTTGTTCCTATGTGGTTTTACTTATATGTAATACTGTAGGTCAGCACCTGCATTTATTCACTATGCCACTATGAAATATTTAAGCCTGGTTTTCTTAAAATGGCAACACTGTCGCTACAGTGTTTTTAGTGCAATCATTGTATTACGTAGCAGCAATCAACAAAACCTGTCGGCTATAACGTGTAGCGATTATATTGAAACCAAGCTTAATGTTAGCATAGAAAAGTTTTATGAAGGAGAATTGCACCAAGTCATAGCACTTACATAGCATTTTATGTTTTCAATCTCAGAGGGGGAAAAATATGATGTTTTTTATACTTATGTTACAGATTAGTTGGTCAACAGGAAAGAAGTTTTTTTTTTCGCCATCAGTTTCTCAGCAGAAAAATGATAACTTTTGATGCCTCTCATATGAGCAATTAACCTTTGAAAATTGTTATTTTTTGGTATTGTTGAGATTTAGAATGAGTCGATCCGGAAATTTAAACTAAGATTAGAACCTAGACGTAGAAGATACACGAGAAATAGAGAGAGAGGAAATGCAAATTAACGTACTTGATAATTGCTGGTTAATTCAGTTCATTCTACTTTGTAAAATTGAACCAGAAATCCAAATCAAAACTAAATGGCAGTGATAACGGTAGATGAAAATGCATGTACACATTTTATAAATAATTTGCTTTTTTTGCACAGGAAATCATTTTGAAATGTTATTTTCAGTTTCAACTTGGGGTGTGATTACACTTGCTCAGGTTATATAACAATATTATCTTTAAAGAGAATTTTGAACTATAAAATGCCTAGCTAATGGTTTATTGGGGAGGGGTTGTAATAATTAATTAAATTATATCATGTTTTTTTTTAAATTATCTATTTTTAGTGCTACTATCTGTGTCATATCCACATTCAAGTAATCTGAATAATTACTTTGAAATTGCATAGAAAATATAAAAATATTAAATATTTAAACAGTATTTTCATTTCTTTAGTTGCTTCTGGAACATCTTGAGTGCTTAGTATCCAGACACGAACGATCTCTCAGAATGACGGTGGTAAAGAGACAAGCATCCTCACCTGCTGGCGTCTCATCAGAGGTAGAAGTACTGAAGGCATTGAAATCGCTTTTTGAGCATCATAAAGCACTCGATGAAAAGGTCCGCGAGAAGCTCAGGATAGCCATGGACCGGGTAGCGTCGCTGGAAGACGAACTAATACAGACGCAAACAGAGAATCAAATTCTTCGTGAACAGCATGTACGGTTAACCAACCAGGAGAAGGATCGCAAAACATCGTCAGCAAATTCTAGTCACGAAGATATTCCTACTGGAATTAGAATGTCAAAGGTAATGGATGAGTTTGCTATGCATAAGATGAAATTAAAATATATTTCCAAGTTCTCTTTTATTACTTCATTAAACAATGTGTCACTTCATTTTTAATAAATTATCTCTTGATTATAATTCTCAGTATTATAATAATGATCTTGTCATTGTTTTTTACTACCTGTATCGACCTTTATATACTGTAGGGCTTAAATGTTTTTTTACTACCTATCGACCTTTATATAGAGCTTGACCTGCTAAAACCAGTATCAGTGACCAAAACAAGAAATTTGACTTTAAAATGATAGGTCATAGGTCATTTACTGGAATAGACTTTACTATTGCCAAAGTTATGAGTAAAAGTACTACTCTGTACCAAACTATGCAATACTGCCATATTCGTATGCTAATTACCTTAGCGACAGTTTGGGATGGCAAACCTCATATATAAATTAATACTGTACACCTATTGAGATTTTCATGCTTGTGATAGGGATCGTCTTCATCATTTTTACGATCATCATCATAATCATTATCATTGTTCTAATTTGTTGCTGTACATTATAAAGTATTTTTTGTTATTGCTGCTGCTTTTGTTTGCTGTTGCTATTGCGGATGCTGCTGTTGTTGTCATCAATGTTATCATTTTCTCCATATCATGATTTTCAACATTTGTTGACTATATCAGTTTTTTTTTAAAGTATATTTCATATGACTTCAATATACTACTTTATCCTCTTTCAGAGATTGTCCAATGGTTCTATTGATCCAGATGATGATGTGAACCGGGTCATCGAATTGCAAGACACACTGGAGAAGCAGAACCATGAACTTAGGATGTCTAGGGACAGGGTGTCAGATTTCTCCGCCCAAATTAATGAACTTGAAGACAAGCTGGAAAATATGCAAAAGGACCTGTATAGATCACAAGAAAATAGTGGAAAATATCAGAAGGAACTGAAAGAAGTAAGTTTTGTGTTTCTTATCTTCACATCCTTATTACAGTATTGTAGAACTGTAGATTGGTGCAATCCCATGGTCCTGATTCAATTTGAACTACCGGTACTATATTTCATAATATGAAGGATAGGGAGCAAATCTTATTCAGGCTTTTGCACTTTTCATATCCGGGTAAACCATGATGTTTCATTTCTGTATACTTTATTTTCCAAATAAATATTATTGTTATTATTATTAAATCTTATAAAAATTAGGATATGATTGTATGTATGTGTGAGACAACAGTTTATAGAACTTTATAGGCTTCCTCTTGATGGTTTTATATAAATACTGTAAGACATGTTTCATGGATTGTTATTTTTATTAATTTCAGGCTATACAGTCAGTTGTATCACACTGGAACACTCCGACATTGTTGTGTTCTCATTCTTTTAAAGCTAGTTTAATCATAATAATACACTTCTTTCGAGAAAAATATGTTTGCTTTAAAAAAGAAAAATACAATCTCTATATTGTTTTACCTTAAGGATCAGCTTCGTCAGAAAAACTATGTGGGATTAACATTCTTAAAGTATAGAATGCATTAAATAGTTTGTGCATATTTTGTGAACAGTTGTATATTATAATAATATTTTACAGATCATTTATGAAATTTACTTGGTCTACAGTACCTCTTGTTCCTATGTGGTTTTACTTATATGTAATACTGTAGGTCAGCACCTGCATTTATTCACTATGCCACTATGAAATATTTAAGCCTGGTTTTCTTAAAATGGCAACACTGTCGCTACAGTGTTTTTAGTGCAATCATTGTATTACGTAGCAGCAATCAACAAAACCTGTCGGCTATAACGTGTAGCGATTATATTGAAACCAAGCTG